CATGGGCAATTGAAAATTTCGACTTTCTTACCGAGGAGTAGTTATATTTCTTTGACTGTTTAGAAACTTCCTAGTCATCAAATAACTCTTCTTATGTTCCTGAAGTTTTATAATTTCTTGTAAAATTTATTATCTAAGCAATTCAAATAAAAAAGTTAATTGGATATGCGCAAGAGTACAATTATTATAATAATGACTTTATTGATATAGGCCAACATAGGATAAGAATGTCCATAATAAAACACAACAGTGTACATATTATGTTAACAAGTAAATTAAATTAAAATCTTATACCTAAAATTATAATACATATAATAGAAATATTAGCCCAGTTACTGTAGCTGGAAAAATAGTAATACCTCCGAATTTTTTATAACTGCATCAATTTTTCTCAAAATTTAGAATTAGGCTCATCTTACACTTCAAAACTTATATATGCGCTAGGTGTGCTTTTTGTTCTTAAGGGGTGAAAACCACCCCTTATTGGAAAGAAAAAAAAATGCAAATTTAAGCATTTTATGTAATCAAATCTTTTTTTATTTATGCAGTATGAGTAATTCCATGTGCTATTTAACATTAAACTTAATGTATCCCAAATTTTCAACCCGGAAAAACCTTTAAAAACCACGCCTTTGGATGAAAATAATATAACAAAAAATTTTCAACTTGAAACGTTTTAATCATGCATTTTTATCAAATTAAAATTGATTTCTTGATTAAAAAATCTTTTTTATCGATTGCAACTTTTCAATCCTTGAAAAATACCCCTTCTTCAGAAAATAAAATGAAAAAATATTATTGAAAGAGTAGAAACATTTTAAATGTGCATTCGTATTAAATAAATATTGATTCCCTTCTTATAAAATTTTATAATGCATGTTTTCATACCTTCTTTCAAAGCAATTTCACTAGCTTTTACCAAAGCTGTATACAAGGTGTTGTAATCACTTGCTGATCCATTGATGAAAGGTAAAAAATTTATTTTGGATACATCATAATTATCTTTACAACTAGTTATCATTCTCATAAAACCATTCCAACAAACGAAATCATTTTCTTCTATTATAATATAGTACTAGTTTATTCGAATATACACTCATCCTAAATACGTATATATACAAAAAAGATTTAAATGATTCAAAATTCTTGTTATCACCTATACACGTGTTTATTTTTTTGACGATAACTTTCTTACTTTTAAGATTTTTAATCGCACAAAGGCTCATTTTGCACGGAATTGTAAGGGCTACGTGAACTGTTGAGTTGATCTTTTTTAAGCCCTTCATTTTTAAGTTTGAAAGGTTTAAAGAACTTGAAAAGGGTGGTTCTTTCATTCATATGATAACTTAAAATGGCGATATCTCGATTAATATTAATTTTAGAGAAATAAAAAATATAAGCAAAATCTTCAGCAAAAATAAAGCTAATTTTTTTTATTCTTGCATTTTTTCGTACACCTTTAATTTTTAAGTTACAGCGTAAAAATCGAATTTTTTAAAAAAATTTGAAAAATTAATATTTTCAAGAATTAAGTTTTTTTTCGAAATCATGCTTTGTAAGTGAGTCAAAGACCCACAACATATTCTTAGAACATAAATGAAGAAATCTGTAAATGGATTGCATTTAATTTTAATTCTGTCGCCAAAGGCACTGATTTGTTTATTAATTTTTTCCTAAAAAAAAATGAGACCATCATGATATTTCGATCATATTTCCGTTAATTTTGATTCTAAAGACTTTTAAAACAGCTCATTTTAAAGGTTTTTCAAAGTACTTTAAATAGTGTTTTTCCTAATATTTATGGTTTTGGCGTTATTTAACGATAACTGGTACCAATTTAGTTTTTAGCTAACATAATAATGTTTAAAAATCCATAACTCGGTTTATATTACAATTAGAGAAAAACAAAATAATGCCATTAGATTTGTTTTTTTATTAGGTACCTTTCTTTTTGTTCATTACAACTTTTTCGTTAAATCCAATGGTTTCAGAGTTATTTGCAAAAAACTGTCCGAAAACAAGCACTTTTTCAGTAACAAATCAACATTTTTAATGACAATTCGGAAAGTATTGGATTATCCAAAAAACTTTATATAATATTTGTTACTTAAAATTGACTCCTCTATCGATTCCTGTGGTTATTTTGGGCGTACAAATTTCCACCCCCGAGAAGGGGTGGGAACCACCCTCAGGGCAAAAGCACACTTCGGCACTATATAAGTTTTGTTCCTTGAGGCATTCCCCACATTCAGTCAAAATTTCACGTCAATCGGTTCAATTATAAAGCATTCGGAGGTAAAAACCCTGAGTAACTGAACTATATGGTCAATCAATATATCAATATAAATATTTAGTGTGTATCTAGATACATATGTATATCACTAAATTCAAGAAATACTTAGGTGTGATACGGGCCGTGGGGACTGGGGCCTACCAAGTTAAAATATTTTTAAGGTCATCGTGCTTCCGGTTATACCGAAAGTCGATACCAACTTTCTTATTTTAAATGGAACCCCCTGTACATTATTGCATTTTGGGAAAGAGCATTTATTTTTAAGTTGAAAACATATAGCACTCTCCATACTTAGGATTGGCCGTTTCCGAGATATTTTGATTTTTAGGCAAAAATTGATAGATGCAGACTGTCAGCAGTTTATTTTTTTGTGCGAATTGGACATTTGGTAGTGGAAGATCTAATTTATCGGATTTGACATGAAAATTTTCCAGTTTTTATACAAGGTGGCCAAAAAAAATGATCGAATATGAAGTTCAGAAAATGTGGAAAACTCGAAATTTTTAAATGAAAACCCCCAATTTTTTTACGTATTCGTATTCTGCACTAAAATTGAGTGTAACTTTGTTAAAGTTTCCCTATACGTAAACCCAGCCGTTTTCATTTTATTTTTACGAATAAACATTTCCCTTTTTCTAAAATGGTGTTTCCATTCGTTTCGCGCATTTTAGGTTGACCGTTATAGATAAGCATTTTATTTGGAGGACTAAAAAATAGTGTATATCCAGTACTCCAGTAAAGACAAAAGAAAATTGTATTCATAGAGTAAGGCAGGCATTTGCGCATATATTACCGGATTCTATTAGAGCAGCGACCCACAAGGAACTAATCCGAAGGTGTGAAAAATGTTTAGAAGTTGAAGGAAGACATTTTAAACATTTATTAAAATAAATTTGACAATTATTATAAACCTGTGACAGTTGTCATATGGATGTTGATTGTTACTTACCTGTCACGGCCAACCTAAAATGTGTAAAACAAAATAATGGAAACACCATTTTAAGAAAAGGCAAATGTTTATTCGTAAATAAAATGAAAACGACTGGGATTAGGTATAGAGAAACGTTAACAAAGTTAAACTCAATTATAGTGCAGAATGCGAATACGTTAAAAATATTGGGGGTTTCCATTTAAAAATTTCGAGTTTTCCACATTTTCTGGACTTCATATTCGATCTTTTTTTTTGTGCACCTTGTATAAGAACTGGAAAATTGTCATGTCAAATCCTATAAATTAGATCTTCCTCTACCAAATGTCCAATTCGCACAAAAAAATTAACTTTGCTGACAGTCTGTATCTGCCAATTTTTGCCTAAAAATCAAAATATCTCGGAAACGGTCAATCATAAGTATGGAGAGTGCTATATGTTTTCAACATAAAAATAAATGCTCTTTCCCAAAATGCAATAATATACAGGGGGTTCCATTTAAATCGATCACTTTTTTTGGCCACCTTGCATAAAAACTGAAAAATTTTCACGTCAAATCGATAAACTAGATCTTCTTCTACAAAATGTCCAATTCGCACAAAACACAATTATTGATCAATTATATTCAAGAAGGTCAAGAATCATTGAAGATATAGACTGATAAGTATAGGTATAGACTTCAAACTTATTATAGCATAGCCCCGTTTGCTCGTAGTAGCTACCTGCTATAAGTAAATTTTTTATCAAAAAAGTGATTTGACATGGCAGAGAATCTTATCCAAATACGACTTATGGTTCTTTATTTCATTGAGAATGTATTGTTCATGGTTAAAACTCCAGAAACTAAAAAAGTTAAGTGTAATTTCTTGGAATTTGGAAGTGCATAATTATGCAGTTTGAATGTATTTATCTGACTATAATTCATTCAAATAAAAAATTAATTCGAATTAGAATTTATATGCTAATGGCTATTAGCAAAAAATAATCATTAGTAAATAGTTATCCTTTTATCAAGTTATTATACAGATGTTGAACTACGAAAAAAACTCTTTCAGACCCAGACTTTGAAGGATTGTAGAATCAGTTCTTAGGAATCGTTGTCAGAAAAAATCGTTGCTTTTATTTTTATGCTTAATTTGACGAGAGGAATCAGCATTGAAAGTTTTGTCACAAAAAGTTGTTGTCACACTCTGTATAATTATGAGATATATTTTATTTTTATTAACATAAAATTTCTAAATTAAATTTGCCGCAAAATATACCTACATAAAATTGAAACAACGACCGTTGCTCGTTACATAGATATACAATTACGTTATGTACGTTACCTCTGTAGACGTGTATGACCTTATTTGATTTGATCTAAAAAGTTTACGCCAAACGAGAAAGTACAGACACTTTCTATCTTCGTCTTGTTCACTTAATATTAATCAACTTATATGTAGACTTTAACATAAATGCATCTGTGTACTGCTTATTGCCTATCTCTTGCTAAGCTGTCGTCTAGCCTACAAATTTACTTTTTATTCCATTCATGTAGTAGTAATTGTAGTATTGATCCATCTGAGTTCTGTCAGTTTCGATTTATTTAATTCCCAAATTAGGGTCAAACAGTGAGTTTGGGCGTGGAAAAATTGCCATTTGCTATTTTTTAACAACGAATTGGTTTAGGTATGTCTTTTGTTCAATAAAAGCGTCCATAAAAAGCAACAATAAGTAGTTTGTAAACAGAGGTTACACCTTTTCCACTAGGTTATTACAAATTCTGTATATTTTCAGACGTCCACGAAGACGACAACAACAACTATGACAACACCAGCCAAATTATATGGAAAAGATCTCAGTGTTTATGATGATATTGATGTAGATGAACTGTTAAACAAATTAACTGCAGAAGAAATTAGTGCGTTAGCTAAAGAAGTTGACCCTGATGTAAGTACTGAAAATCTAGGTTATGAGCTGGTAGATTTAGAAGTTGTAGCTAATTAATGTGGCTATTGTTTTAAATATTTTCAGCTAAAATTTTTTAATTGTTTTATGTAAAAGAGTAACTAAACATCATACGGGCCTTGAATTTTAGGACAATTTTTTACCTCCCTCTCAAAGAAATAGTTATGAATGTGATAAAGGCCCTACTGGTCCGTTAAATAGAAAGAAGTTGATTGAACATATAAATAAGGAAGCATTAGAAACACCTGACAAACCTGAAGCGAAGCCTTATGTACCTGGCACAGTAAGAGGGAAGAAAGTAAGTGATTTAACAGTTTTGTGGTTGTCCCTAAAAAAATTTGATTATAGTGGATTCCACCACCTCCCCCTCTGAAAGAACAAGAAGCAGAAGAGCAAATTGCCGTCGATTTAGGTGATGAGTATGAGACAGCGTTATCCTCAGCAACGCAGGAAGAAATTATAGATTTAGCAGGTAAGTGATTTTTATCAAATTTAGATAATATAATAAATACAGATTCATTTGGTTTTAATATGTAATTTAATAGATTAGGTATTTTATTAGTATTAAAAATATTTATAACTAATCCTTAACAGAGAATGTTTCATATTTCAGTCAGTTTTATTGCATGAAACATTTATTAATCTAATTTTAATTATACTTTAAACATAATCTTATTTTGTATTCTTAAATAGACATGATGTCATTTTCTGAGATCCTTGAGAGAGAATGTCATATATAGGCAACCCATCAGGCTCTGTTATGATTCTATGATATCATCACTTACAAGTTGTTTACTATTATGTACATGCACATATTCTTTAATATGAGTAAATATTTAAGTTTTAAATTCTAACACATTATTGAACATAAACTTAACCCCATTATGTTTTGCTTTTCACTCAGAAACAATGAATCATTTTAAAATAATACGATTATCAAAAGTGACAATTTTGCAAATACATATGCAAGATGTTTTTAAAAATGTGCAGTTGGTCATCTAAAAATAAGTTACCTTATTTAAAATAGAATTGCATTTGTCGTTATAATGTAATAATTTAAATTCATAAAAATTCAATAAGCAACTTTTATTACACATAAAATGCTAAAATATGTACTGTTTTAGACATTTCTGAAGACATTTTGAAATAGCACTTTTTTTTAACACCCTGTATTTTTTAGTGGAGCAATCACATTAAATTTATTATTTTTTTTAATGTCCATTGGCTTTAGTATTAAACAATGTATTTTTGAAAATATATAAAAACAATCCCCTTTTAGAGATTGAAAAATTTTGTTTTATCTATTATTCATTACTTATATCCATAAAAATTGTTATCTGCATAAGTTATAAAAGGATAATTCCAAATAATTTTTTTCAGAATTAAGATCTAAGGGTCATGAAAGCTTACATAATTGATACAATATCTAGTTTATCAACAACAAGAAAGATGCTTTATATCATATTTCTGAAAAATTACTCAAATGCATAATTTAATGGAATATTGAATTCATTTAAGCTAATAAATCAGCCCTCATTACAATTATGAAATAATTCTAAATAAGGGTTCATTTTTAACTATCCTTATACAGGGTGTTACAAATTGGTAGGTCAACCCACTAACCACATATTCTTTGGACTAAAATAATGTGACTTTTCTTATGTCACTTTTAATTTCGGACCTCATTTTCAAAATGCAGGGTGGCAATATTAAAATTTAAAAAATGACTTTTACTGTTAACTCTGGTGATTATAGAGATATTTATTTGAAATTTAGCACATATTTTGATATTAAGTTGGCACACTTTTTTTTTGGTAATTTTGGTTTAAAATATAAAAGCGCGAACGGAGGGGAGTGGGGGTTGCAGTATTCATGGACACCCAATTTTTATTTTTTTTTGAGAACACACACACGCTCCCAAAATATTATACTACACAAAAAGCCACATAATCCAATTTTTAACCCTTATAATACTTTTATTTGGGGCCTCATTTACTAGATATTGTAACTTTTTTGGATACACAACATCGATTTAGTCGACATTAGACTTTAATTTTTGGAATAAAAAATATGAAAAATTTCTTATATTCTTAGTAATATTTTAAACTGTAATTAACTTTATATCAAAATTTTAGTAATTTTTTAATGATGTGAAAAATTTTGATATAAATTAGAGATTAAAATATTACTGAGAATAGATGCGTTGTTTATGAGACTTCCATCAATAAGTTTTTGATATAAACCTACTTCGAGATAAGTCACTTATTTTATGCACCGCAAAATTGTAAGATTTCAATTAAAAGCCTTTTTTTGGAACCCGAATTGTACAAAATCTAACCTTAAAAAAATTAGAACTTAAAATGTAATAGGAATGTAGCGTAACTAGCGCCCTCTATGAAATATCCAAAAAATAATTAGATTAGCGTGTTTGGCGTCCTTAATAGCTAAATATACACGTAAAGACTTATTGGAGCGATAAATTGTACTAAATAATCGTCAGATAAATCGTTAAGAAAAATCTTTCAGACAAATCTTAGAGAGGACACTAATGCGAAGTTTTATTGAATCGAATTATTGTACAAACTTTATTTGACAGTTTATTCGTTATGTCTGTGTCATTCACAAAGATTTATCTCTAAATTTGGTAAGATTATTCTGTCATCGTTGATATTTTGGAAGTTAAAAAAATCAGAGCAATTTATTTGTTACTCGTAAGTGTAGTTGGCTTGAGTGTTCTACGAAAACATGATCACAAACGAACAAATTCTATTCGAGGTACTAGTTCAAGATTTGACTGATTTGTGGTTATGAATGTGGAAAGTCATGTACCAGGAAAATCGGAAGTACACATTTGGTAGTCCTAAACAATCGAAAATTTATTTAATTTTTTTTCAATTTTTTCAACACCTTAATGTTAATAGACTTTACCAACAAAAATAATGCGAACTATAAAAACTATGTTTCACTAAGGAATTATATTACTGAGCAATTAAATAAAAATACATATATACAGGGTATTATTATTTTAATTTTTAGTGACCAATCTCTAAATGAAAAATAAACCGTAACAACATATCGCGCAAATATTTCCTCCAACACGTACTAACACGCAGATGGCGTTCTACAAAATATCGCCCGATAATTCACAACAGATTTATCTCCTGTTTGATCGCTGTGTTAGTAAACGTAACAAAATAATCGCTCCAAATTATTTGGCAACAATTTATCCGCCAAAATTTTGGTATTTTACAAATTTTCTTGATGACCCAAACTAGCAGTTTTGTCTTTACATTTTATGCAATTCAACGATAAATCGGCCAAATCGGTCGATAAAAGTGCTCGTGTATATTCAGCTAATAAACCTACCAAATTTTATAAAAATATTTCGCACTTTTTGGAAGTTTTCGTAAAAATTCTATTTTAAAATTTTACTTTGTGGCTCTGATCTCAAAAACAAGAGCAGATAGACATATAGTTCATAAGACAAAAATTTTTATTTTTTGATGTACTATAACTCCCTGTATTTACAAGAGGTCTTTCTGAAACAGCCCGTATATTTTCAATCAAATCTGATATTTAATGATGTATTGTTTTTTTTTAGCTATATTGGGTTTCCATTCGATGATGAATCAGGACCAGTACCACGCTTCCTTGCTAAACAAAGGCCAACCAGTGGGTCTTGGCTGGGATGGCATTACGAAAGCATCGAAACCAAAAATATTTCCCATGGATCCTCCTAATATGACTGACCCAGATGAAACAGTAAAAAAAGTTCAGAACGATGAATCCAAATTTATTGATCTTAACTGGAATAATATTAAGGTTAGAAGCTTTTACTCGCTGTTCAATAAAATTTCTGTATTGTATCTTATTTCCTCTTTTTAGAACATATCGGACGAGAAATTCGACAGTCTGTTTGAAGCCTTAGAGAATAACACCCATCTGGAAACACTGTCGTTAGCCAACTCCGGACTGACCGACAAGCACGTGGAGAAGTTGGCGCAGGCGATTGAGAAAAACGAAACGTTGAGGGTCGTAAATGTAGAGACTAATTTTATTTCACCTACTGGTGTCGTCAGGTTAATTAAGGCGTTGCTCAAAAAGAAGAGCGTGGAGGAATTCAGGGCGGCAAATCAGGTAATATTTTCCTTCAGTAACGATCAGATAAATAATAACGCACTTAATTTTTGGTATATAATTTTAAAGTGCTGCTGAAATATTAGGTTAAATAATAAAAGATAAAAAAAAAATTGGTGTACTTAGTGTATTTACTTTTTTCAGTACTAGAACATTTTAATAATGTACATAAACTTTATAAACAAATTAAGAAAATAATTCAAAAGAAATTTGTAACAAAAAAAGGAAAAACACATTCTTTCTCAGTAGCACAGATTTTGGCAATTGTTGGTGTATTGTTAGTGTAAATGCAGCTGAATTATCTGTTAAATATCACAGAAAAGGTTTATAATAAAAAAAAAAAACACTATAAAAAACATTTTTATATACAAGAGTACATGGGTCTTAAACACCTTTGTTTTCGGGATATAAGGTATTGCAGTTCATGAAAGCGGAAATCTGAGGGTATTGATGAAATTTTGGTCAGTGATTTATGTAATTTGAGTTAAATTCACTGAGTTAGCTTACACTAGTCCACTAGTGACGAAGATATGAGAGGAATTAGGGCATACTATGAACATCAGAATTTTAATACCATTGGGTATTTTTAATTGAAACAATCAAATCTTGTAGTGGTATTTCTTTCTAAGGAAAAAGATCTCATCCATTTTATGCAAAAGGTGGGCATACATGAGTCGACTTGCTGGACGGCCAAACTTCCGGACGCAAAGCTGGAAGGCTACCCTGCACTCTCAGTTACAGCATACACATTACTTTTTAATGCTGAATTTTGTTTAGTTTTATAGTAAGTTTAGCGAAAAGGTGTAGACATGATCTCCGAATATGATCTTACCTTGATTGGGGTGGCACTTGCTTTGTTGCCTGTAGGCAGTTAATTACAAAGATTTGTTTAAATATTGCTTGCTTTTTGAACCATACAAGCAAGGCAGGATCGATTAACTCAATAAATTCTGTTAAGAATTCGTGAGACCATGTTCGCATATCAGCCATTTTTTTACAAAAACATGTACACGAAATGCTTTCTTTCTATTTAGAAAGTCTCGGCCTGTTCTCACTCCTCAAGCATACACGCTCCGATTTGTACGCGAAGAGCATAGCTGGAAGGCAAAATTTCAAGCGTTGGTAGTTTTTCGGGAGGTTGAGAGTTCAGAGCAGGCCTTCCGGCCAATATACCCACTAACATTACGGTTTGCCTTCTGGTTTGGAAAATGAAAGGCCTGCCTTCCGGAAAACTGCATTGTGTATGCCGGCCTAACAAACAAATTATCGTACAGTTATGACTTTTTTGATATTAATAAAAACAAATTATTCTAAGATTATTCAATTTGCAAAAAAAAATGGAATTTTTTGTTAAGAATATTTTAAATATAAAACGATGAGACAAAAGTTAAAAACAACCATTGGCTTAAAAAAATTATAGACATTTTTTGGACTTTCCATGATTTACACTGTATTTAAAATTTTGTTTTTAACAAAAATATTGGATTGTGTTTATGGGAAATTGAGTTTTAAAGTTATTATATTGAATTAATTCAACTGTGAGGAAAATTACAAATAAAACTATATATTTCAAATGGCTAGTTCTTGAAATATAATCGGAGATAAATGGTACTTAGAATTAAAAATACTTGTGGCCTCGACATTCTAAGGCTGCTAATGGTACTGGTACTATTGACTCCGAGAATCTCTTTCCACCAGTGTTAATTTCAGAGTTAGGATACAGAGACATCTGTAGATATTTCTTTACTAATTTCAGTATTGCAGTTTCCTCCACATATATATTTAATGTCTTCTTTTTATTAAATATGCATAAATTTCAGTGCAGAAATCAGTCCCACCCTTATCCTATGATACGGAGAGTGGTACATGCAGAGATTGAATTTTTCAATATCCCCTAACATAAAAAATTTAAATTTGTTCAAAACAAAAATTTAATTAAATGCTTATTGAACCAAATACTTCTTACTTTTGTTGAATATTTTAATACTAACATGATTTTGAAAATTTAACTACATACATACATAATATACAGGGTGTCCCAGAATAACGTGTGCAACGGAGGACCACAGACCTGCAGACACAAAATAGGCAGATTTAGGCTAATTCACCTATATCCGTAATCGCTTCGTTTGGCCGCTAGATGGCCTCAAAGTTTGTGGAAATTTTTTGAATTTTGTAAATAAATCGAATACGTATTAATCGATTTTGATTATTTTTGGGATGTGGACTTTTGCTTTCAATCTACACATCTTGATGTTATACGGAGTGTTTTTTAAAACTTGCAACTCCTACAAAATTGATGTATGGTGATAATATCCGTTCATAACTTTTTCCTCTTTCGGGCAATAATGACAACTATTTTTTACTTGATAGGTGGTACTATTTGGAAGTTTTTGGGCCTCTTGTAGAATTTTGATTAAATGAGCGGTTTGGGTACAAAAACATATTTTTCAAATGTCTACATTGTCTTGCAACCCATATTACGATACTTAACAGTACTAGTAGACACTGATTTTGTAGCTTCATTGTAATTTCAGTTTGATCTTTAAGTCATTGTACCTGCCAATTCTTAATGAGTGTTTACTACGATAAGATATGTTACTTCGACATGGATACACACACACACACACACACATACGACGAATTTTTTACAACATGCCTAATTTTATTGAGATAATTAGTAAATACACACTTGGTACTTTGCAATCATGCAAAAAAAAATATTTTTTAAAATGTGTCCAATTATTTTTTAATGTTTCACATGCCTGCATTATTATTTTATTTGTTATTAGTACTTGCTTTAATATTTTTCGTATTGTTTCAGTTCTCATTCTTCTCTACTTTGTTTTCCCAACTATTTTGTTCAAGTGCATATTTTGCTATTGTTTCTTTTGTACTGTCCAACTTTCACTGAAACATAAATACATACATTCAAATTAAAGTTGTTTAGTGGATTAAAGGATGCTCTTGTCAATAAATAGGTCGTCCAACTGTTGTTGTAACTGTCACACAGCTAGATTGTATTTGTAAATGATTCGGCTGATAAAAACTCCTGTTCCAAAGTTCTTTTATCTCTGAAGTTTTCAATGTGGGTTCATTCTGTAAAAAAACGGTAGATATGAGTCCCACACTTCATTATAAAAATAATACATTCAGCAGCTGTCATTCATTTTTAGTTTAGTTTAGTTTAGTTTAGTTTATTGGTGCTAGGTATACATAAGTATTTACACAAGTCAAAAAAGAAAGAAAGGGGAAAGCGAATGAACATAATAATAATAATAATAATTATTATTATAGTGAGGATAGAGTCCTATAGTAAGAGTAAGATTAAAATCTAACGTCTAAAAATACAAAATCAAAATGTAAAGTACACATACAAATTATATACAATACAAACATTAACATTAATTTCATTTAAAAATTAATTTAAAATTTTAAATTAATTTGTGGTGTATTTTAGTGTATATTTAATTTTTTGCTTTTTTTTCAGTGTAACATTTTTGATTAGACAAACACAGTTTCTTAATTTAACCCTTGGTTCACAAAATATCCAAATAATGGAGAAAAAAATAAAATTATGCCACAAATAAATAATTTTAGACAATATGCTGAATTATGTTTACATATTTTTTTGGTTTATTTATTTGTTGTAAACAATTTTTTGTTTCAAAAATGTGGGTGGTATAACTGATATTTGTAAGAATGTAGTAAATATCGGTTTGTGTGGAATTATTTTTATGCATTATTATTATTATTTTTTAATTTGAAGGCTTGTATCTGGGAAATGGTGTAATACAGGACTAGATGTAAACATTTTTGCTTATCTTTAATTGAGAAAAGTTCTCTTAAAGTTAGTGCATTTCTTCTATGGGACACTGTATAATAAAAGCAAAAAAGAAAAAAAAATCAAATTGAATTCGTCATAACTTTTTCTAAATATGATGTAGCTTTTTTTCTTGAATGCAACTAGTTTATAGGAAAAGTAATCGGAAAAATTAAATTTTTAATTTTTGTGGTGATTGCTTTAATGTATTCCAAAATGACACTTTGATATAGATGTATTCCTGTATATTTTTTAAGAGCATACTAGCTTATTCATGTGAAATATTTTGTTAAAATTCTTTCATTTGCTCTAGTTATTTTGCTCACCAGAATGAATACTCCAAGGCCGGTCTTAAATTATTAATGTAATAAATTTTATTTTAAAATAAGTACAAGGGAAGAACATTCATAAAACCCCAGTTATATGAGGTGTTTGTTTTATACATTATTTTCGACACACACTGAAGACAGATAAGTAGATAAACAAGGGACTCATTGTCAACAGTTTACTTCAGTCTATTGAAAAATAAAAAAAAAACTGGCATGAGTTTGAGACAAACACACCTCGTATTGCTTCTTGTGATATAAGTGCAATAAATCTTTATTTTTATGCGAAATAATAATATTTTTATAAATAGTTGCTGATGCAAATTACAAAATTTGTCAAAAAGCTGATAGTATAATCAATATCATATAAGTTCCAGCCACAATATTTTTAAATAAAGTTTGAATTATTACAATTTTGAAGTGTAAATTGATAAAATACAGTATGTTTGCATTAAGGTGAATAGAAAGCTGTTGAATTTTAATTTTTTGAGGTAATTTACTTTTCTTTTTTTTCAGGCACTTTTGAACATTTCAGTATTATTGATGTATGAACGTGAAGCCTACTTTTCATTTCATAAAATTTGAGAAATAGTATTATATTCATTTTTTTTTAATAAGCATGTCAATTAGGATTGCTCAAAATCATTTAATAGAAATGATTAATGCAGTTCTTTGGTTTGTAACTGAACAGTACCAAAACATTTAAAAGTGCAAAACAGAAATTAAAAACCTCAGAAATGAAATATTCTTTGTGATTTGTGAATAATCAATAGTTGCTGTATTTATGATTTCCTATTACAAACTAAATTAAGGTACAGTTAGTATAATATTTGTTGAGATAGAATTTGAAGACCCCTGCGCCACTTTCTTGGAATTAACCGCATTTGATACTCGAGGTAGAAAGACATTCACTGTAGCAGCTTGCAGTGCATACTGTGTTTTACAGTTACAAAGATGGGTTTCTTGGTAAGTGCTTGGTCCTGTGCATTTTAAGTGTAATTTCTTATTAAAATAAATCAATGGAGGTATAATAGAAAGGATTTAATTCCCAGTCCAAGAAAAACATACTTTTTACCTTATGTATTTTAATATTCTGAAAATAATACTGAAAATTTTAAGGCACACCCCTACGGCGGTAAATTGTTACAGTAGCTCTGATAACAGAACTTTAAGGGTTTATTCTTTTCTTGGAATTCTATCTCAACAGATATTGTAAGGACTGTATTTACATAATTTCTGCAAATATTTTAAAATATCTATTAACGTTTCTGTAGTCTTTAGTCAACAAATGGAAATAAAACATTATTTAAATCGTACTACTTATTGAATTAGAAATAAAAGGAATACAATATTTATCTTTTAAGTATATTAAGTGTAGTAGTACATATGTTTTATAATTCTAACAAACATTCTGATTATTGATATTTGTTTCAGAGATCTCAGATACTCGGTAACAAGATAGAAATGGAAATTACACAACTAATTGAGAAAAACCCCACAATACTTAGGTTGGGCTTGCACTTAGAATATAACGATGCCCGCCATCGTATTGCCACACACTTACAACGTAACATTGACACAAGTAAGTTAACTCCGTATTCATTTTTTCTTCAAATAAAGTTTTCTTTCAGCCACTCTTCACTTGTTCCATACTATTGGCAAGTTGAATTTGCGACATGGAAAACATTTTACATTTTTTATCAAACAGCACTATTGAAAATTCATATTTTTCTTGTTGTTTTCAGTCAATACTACAACATTGCGCAATTGTAATCCTAATTTTCAAGTTATTGTGTGTAAAATTGATTTTTTTTTAAATTTTATTATTTATAATTTTTATTAATTGCGGTTTATAAGGTGAAATTTTACGTTTTTTGCGTCCAAGTGTTCTTAAAATTTTGGAATTGTATTTTTTTCTAGGTACTTACACTTTTGCCTATAATACAGTTACCACAACTGCATGTAAAAAATTAGGAATAATGCTCAAATTTGCGAATATTTTTTTATGTATAAACATCCTCTCCCATTTGTGAGATACTTACAGGTTGTTAAAATTCTCAAAAAAAAATCATCTTTAAATTTCAAGGAAAGATGTTGAAACAAAGTTTTGTGTGCATATAAATAAAATAAGAAGTGTTTTGAACTCTCTTGCAAATTGCTAAATGATAAATTGTATACAAAAAAGTGGCTTGATCATTTTTGTTTAAAATACACTTCCAGTAGTATTTTCTTTTCTAATTTTGTTTTGAAAACTTTAACACTGTCAGAAATGAAAGCTTCAGGCGTAAGTTTATGTAGAAAAAATATTAAATTTCTATGAGGAAAATGCTTCTTCATTTTTAACAAACAGTGTGTTACATCCTGTATATTTACACACTATTTGTATAAAATTTTCTGAATTGGTAAACGGGTTTTGTTTTTCGTGAGTAGCATTTATCAAAGATTTTCCATATTTTAATGAAAATTTGCTTTGTAAAGGATTACAATAAATTTTTTTCAGTGTATAAAAAGTATTTCTTAGCAAATATTTTTCTCTTGGTTTATCTGTCGTACGGTGCCAATACAATTTATTGTCTCATCGGTTTTTAGAACGTCGTGCTGTGAAAGCTAAATATCAGATTATGCTCGGTCCGTCTGGTGATGCTGTTAAAATCGTTCGGACTGCTTAATAGTCGTATGTGGTATGTGAGTATAGTGTTTGTCATTCTTATTTTGGCAGTAAATTAACAATTTTTTTACACATACACTTTACACCTTATATGCATTTTCAAACCGGTTTTACCAAAATTACTCTTAATTATTCCTGATCTATTGTTTAATTGAGAACTGTCAACAAGCTAAGAATTTGTCTTTGATTATTGGAAAATGGCTTTGATATATGAAAAATCTGTCAAAACTAAAGTGCAAAATTTAGTTGTTAGTAACATGAAAGTGTTTTAATTATAAAAATGTTGTCATACCAGTTAAATTGTAGAGTAAATAAACAATGATCAAAATTATACCAAAAAAAGCATTTAAAATTCCTCACTAATTACAAATAGTGTTTCTATTCCTATCAATTAAATTATAAAAGGAAACAAAAATATGCATAAATTAGTTCAAATGTGGGACCACATACACATAGTAGTCTTAGTATTTGTACTTTTCATTTGCAATTTTCCAATTTTGGTCATTTTTATTTTATTTTCAAAGATGTGAAAAGTAATAGCTCTGATGTGCGCTCTATACATTTTTTTTTAAATATTTAAAGCATTACCCTTTCATACATTTTTAACCTTGAAGGCTGAAATAACTGATTTTTCAAATAATTTGTTTTTCTGCCATCATTTAATTATTGCAATGATTTAGCTTTGACAGTATAATTGCATTTTCTAAGCTATATATTACAAATAAATAATTATTTTCAGCTCTTTTCAGTTTTTCATGGCATAAATATGTTATGCTTGAATTTAATCTCACTTTTACATATATTTGATTTGATGCTGCCAATGGTGAGGGTGTTAGCACTATATTGACACAATTTGCCAGATTTTTTTTATAAAAATATCGATTACTGCCAAATTAAAATGACTAACGCTTAAAGGTGTGTTCTTTACCACAATTTGTGGTGAAGTGTATTTTTATTTTTTACTTGATTTGTATTAGCTGAATTATCTAATGCTTTTGTCATGGGAAGGTTGATTTTGGCGCAGTACCAGCCCAGAAACTTGTTGCTGGCACATTACACATGGTAAAAAATAAATTTACACATCACATTACACAGTGCTGGAGAAAAGGGAAAAAGGAAAACAAATTGTATCTACTATTGATCTTATTTTAGAGACCATTTGTACAATTTGTTCAAAAGTGGTATATGGTAGAAAAAGTAAGCTTATATTGGAACCATATTTGATGAAATCTTATTAGATCAGACTGAAACAGTTCAGACATTACAAATTTTATGGAGTCCTTTTGTTGTCCTTGAGAATAATTCCACAAATAGATTTTATTTAGAAAAATTCATAAATAACAAATTATATTTTGAATTTTTTTTATCAACCGACTAATTGCTATTTGAAGGTAAAAAATAGTACTAATACTACTTGATAGTAAATCAAGAAAGTCCAGTAATATTTAAAACTGCCATTTATTGTGATTCTATTTTTTTTGTTTTCTTATTATGACTACGAAATTAAGTATAAGACAAAGAAGAAAACTTAATAACTTCATGTTTTTTAATTTTATTTGAGTTCTATCGTCAAAACGGATCGAACATTTATATTAAATACCTATACGATTTGGGGCGAGTTAGCTTGGCACGGAATTGACATGAATTTAGGACGAAACGGCTATTCACTCCCTGATTGGTCCCATGCCAAGTTCAATCAGTGCTATGCGGATTGACCCTTAAGGATCCCCCATACCAGCGCGAATCATTGGCGTTGCGAACTTTTCACAGCAAATAATTCGTCAGCGGTGAAGCAGGGAAGGCGATTCTCTCGTGATTGAAATGTGTGGGTAGTGTTAAAATATTGTATAATATAGGATTAATCATAAAATACTACTTTCGACTTGTCAGTGTTCATTTATCATAAATAAAAATTTATTCTTACTGATGATATAAAAACTTTACATTTTCTTTTAATCCTCACTCTATTTGCCCCCAAATGTATAATTTTCATTGCCCAAGGTACATAATATAAGGCTTTAACAATTTCAATGTTTTTTCTGTTGGCACCATTTCTAGGCTTCGAAACTAGAGTTGTAGTAGCGGTAAAAACGTGTATACACCGTTCCTTGTAAACAACTCTGCTCTGCTGCGACTATAACGGTATGAGGGCTTAGTGTGAACAGTTTGTCGTTGTCGACACGCTGCGGTATCGCGTAGGCGCAGCTGCGGAAATTTAGCGCCGGTGTGGAGTATCCTTTAAAGCTACGATCTGGCTAGTATCTTAAGGCGGGCAATGCTTCCTAACGTAACAACGAACATGTTACGGCCTGTTGCAAAAGGTGACACGGTTCGCTGCGAAAGTATGTGTGGTTTTGGTCGTATCATTCATTCCGTAACGTAACAAAATAAGGTTACGAGACGACAAAGGAACATAAACTCGCAGTATGAACCTGACTGCAATAATGGATTCGTCACTGCAATTGCAGTTAGCAGTAGCGTCATATATTTTTATTTATCATACAATTTTGAAGAATAAGAAACGGAAATCTCCGGAAATCTTTTCTTTACTCCACTCCATGACACAAACACAGAAAAACACACTCTTTCTAGTCACTGCAGAAAACAGACTGACCCCAGGCCATATACAAAAGACTGACGAAACAAAAAATAAGACAAAATCACGTGCAACAGGCAACGTTACGGCCAAAAGGGTAATATGGCCTCAACATGTGGCAGAAAGTACTGTTGCATTCCTTTGATGCGACGACTAAAAACCGACAACTGATGGTTCGTCCCGGATTAGTTACGCGTGTCAAATTTGTTACACGTACCATGCAACAATTTTCCGTCTCCACTAGCTGTAACGTAACATGTTCGGTGTTACGTTACAGGGCATTTGACACAACTGGATACCCACCTTTAATCCTTCGGGAATGGGGGATAGGCCGAAATGTCCCTGTACGTTGGCCAGCACGAAGTCCTGATATGAATCCTCTGGACTTTTTTGTTTAGGGGTGTATGAAACAAGTAATTCTTTTACTCGTTAAACGAGATTTGAATAAATTTCATCAATTTCGAACACACAATTTAAACCGTCAAAACCGCCATCAGCGCTTTCGTACTGCAGCGCGCGGCAACTTCGATATCAGTCGTACAGCTGGCTGCCGCACCAGGGGCGGCTTTAAATTTGTTGAACCTGAACTTGAAACTGAAGGCACCAGCACAGATTATATTTTTTATTTAATTAATTTCTATAATCTATATTCATATACGAGTATATTGATGTTTAATAAAATAAAAAATGTAACTAGAATGTGATCATTCTGAGTTTTCTGTTTTACATTCATCTTGCGAATAAAAAATAATTTATTACGTCAGCGTTTTCAAATATGTGGAATACTGTTAAATCATCAAATAATTTCACGTAGCCCGAACGCAACGGTTTCGTTTGAATCGGCCCGTTTAATTGGCCCTTTATAACGCCGCAATTTTACAAAAGGATAACTGAATATTCCAACGGAATTTCATTATCAGCACTGTGTATTATGAAAAGCGCGGCGAGTGGAGATTTTTATTTTTTTTACTGGATTTTTGCCTCTCTTTCTTCACATTCGCTTAACCATGGAAAATTCCGAATAAGGTCTCCCTAAAGTGTAATATGTTGAATTTTATTTACATACTGCGGTGTCTTTTTTCCTTTTTCTCTTGCAGTGGGTATACAGAACACATTATCACATCAAACATACTGCAGGATTTAAAATTATCAAAGTCGGAACTAGTCATGCAGGAAAAACTCGATGTCTGGAAAAAGTTTTTCCTAAATACAGTTCACAACAAAATCGATTAAAAATTAAAAGTTGTAAAAGTTTACCATTTTGGATTAGATATTAGTAATTATTAAAGATTTTAAGTTCTTCAATGTTGTATTGTGGTTTGATAAAACATATTTCTTCGAAGTTGACCCATTTTCGAGCGTTTCGTAGACAAAAATAGAACTGTCAGATTTTAATATTCATTACTACAAGCCAAAGAGACTAAACAAATCAGTTAGCTAGTTAGTTAAAAAGATGGATTAATACATGTTTAAAATTAAAATGTAACTATATCTATCCCCGCATTTCAGTGGAACTTTTATTTTAAAATTGATTTCCTCATAATTTTTTAATTGTACCCCTCTTTGTACAATTATTGATGTTTATAATACAGGGGTATTTATATAATATTCTATTCCGTTTATCTTTTTTGCCTTTCTAGCTTGACAAAAAATAGATTAAAACTTAAAAAAAAATTTTGTGATTTTAAAGAATGTGTATAAAGAAAAAAATTAATATATTTTAACTCAGAGATATGAACCGATCTTGTGTATTTTTATTGAGACACCCTGTATATTGGTCATATTAAGAGATGCTGAATGAGATTCTGTTTTTTGGAAAAAAATCGCTAATACCAATTAGCCGTTTTGACGTCAAGAAAACGTGTCCTATTTGGCCGTGTATAGCGTTAATAAAAACAGCAGTATCACAATTACAGTTTATTTAACGTATATTCAAAAATTTTTTTTTTAAATCGATCAAAAAATAAAGAAGCTACAGGCTTGTATCACATTTAAGCGCGACACCCTGTATATAAAGAGTGTCTCAAAATTCACGCAATAAGTAATTTTGATAGAAAACATAGGTTTTAAATTAAAAATTAAAAACACAGTATAGCCATAGTACAGTATATTGAATAGCATATCGGGCCTCCATGGTTTTGCTGACACATAAACAATCTTTTGTCGAAATTTTCCGTGACGGTTTTGCATAAATGTGTCTGAATTTCGTTGATATAGGGCTCAATTTCTTCCTTCAAGGTGCGGGTGGTCGTTGGCATAAACCTTAGATTTCAAAAAAAATCCAACGGCGTTATATCACATGATCTGCGCGGCCAATTCTGATCACCAAAACGGGAAATTACACCACCAGTTATGTAGTAATTGAGTTGTTTCTCGGGTTGTATGATATGTGGCACCGTCTTGTTGAAACCTCATGTCGTCTACATCCATATTTTGCAATTTAGGCACAAAAAACTGGATTATGTCACGATAGCGAGCACCATTAACTGTTATTGCCTGACCAGCCGCATTTTCGAAGAATGGTCCGATAACGTGGATGCATTTGTTTCTCAACAATCACTCCTGAATTTTCTGAATGCCAAATGCGATAATTTTCTCGATTGACGAATTGTCAGCTGTCATGCTGTTTTTTTCTGTTAGCAACACTTTACCGCACAAAGGCTCAAAATTCAAATCTTATATAAATTTTGAGACACACGATACAACATGTCAAATATTTGTTTTGATTTGCACAATATTTTTTATTATTTACCGACTCTGTACAAGTAATATTGTCGAGATTGTTATGGAACCAGTACGTGTATATGCTCTTGATGCTGTTAAATTTATTTAATAAATTAATAAAATAATAATAAAGAACAAATATTCCAAGTTTTCCGCCCGATTCCCAAGTTATATGAGTCACATACTTCGAATCTTAAGGCGGTTTTCCACTAAACGGACAAAACAATAATAAAACACAAACTTGTGTCGAATAAAACAGAACTGTAACTTTTCGCAAACTTTTTAAAGACTGGCGTGTTTTGCGACAGTTGTAGTTTTGTTTTTCAGGTCCCGCTCGAAAGCGGTCACATCAAAAGGTTTTGACGTGTTTTGAAACTCAAGTTTGTTTAATGGAAACGGTCGTGTTGTGTTTTCTACTTAAGTGATCAATCCCAATATCTATGTTGGCGTTTTCTTCTTCCCAAAAACAATATTTTAATGAATTACAGCTGTTAAAAATATATATATATGTGTACAGTTAAGGTGTTTACTTGCTAGTATACAAACTAACTAACCAAGTAAACACTTTAACCGTACATATATACACTTACTTTTTTTCCAAGGACTTCAGTATAAACCAGCCATAACTAAGAATAAAAAAATCTTCTCTAAACATGTTGGTTGGTTATTGGAAAAATGTGTTCTGACTTCCTCGCGACAACCAGTGGAAAAGGAACGAAAACAAAAACAAAACTCGAACAAAATGTAGCCCGCTTGATGAAAACAAGAGTTTTGGGTTTGTTTCAGTTTTGTTTTTATTTTTCGTGTTCTAGAAAACACAAACAGGACATAAACTCAACTGTCCGTTTAGTGGAAAACCGCCATTATCAAACAACAAATACTACTTGTGGATTATAAATGAGTTCGTTTATAAGAGAAATTTGGTTAAAAAAACGTCCTTTGCTTAAAAACGCATAAATATGCATTGGTTCCATGAATTTAAGCAAATATACAAGATGTATAGATGTACAGTTGTATTCAGAAAGAATGATCCATTTGTTTTTGAGTTCCCAAGAAAATTTCGTTATCATTTTTTTTTCTACCTATGTAAAAGGCTAAGAAACATAAAATGAGTAGAATCACATACTCCCGTATAGGGCGATGGAAAAATAACTACTATAATTATTGGAAATAGAAAATAATAAGGAATTTTACATAAAATGAAATATTATTTTCTTTTAAAAATGGAGGGTGGGTATTTGTTATTCGATTTATTTTCGCTTTCTTCTTTTCAAAATGAAGCATAGAGAACTCTTAAATACGCACTTTTTAAAATTTATTTTTCATTATCAAAGTTAATTTGTTAATGTTTTTCATCTCTACCTAAACCTAAAAGGAATTTGTACTTTCTTCTTAAATCCAATAATAATCCAGTGAATATTAAATTAGTTACCCAATAATTTTTTTTTGTTTTGTGATTTAATAATATATATTTTTATGCTTTATCTAAAAAAAAAACGAAGTAAATCGGATAACAAACACCTTTTTTGCAGAATAAAAATTTAAAATTAAATTTTATTGCATATATGTATTATTCTTTATTGAAGACAATTTTAATAATTAAAAATATTCTTTAATTGCAATTTGTTGTAAAATTAATATGTCAAATGAGTTCTTTTATTTATCCAGTATATTATGGAGACTTCATTGTTTACGGGAATTCAATTATTCTCTTTTTTACAAAAAAACAGTAAAATAGACTGGCATATCTATAAATGTTACGGAAAATACTATTCGAAAGAAAAATTCTCTTTACTATTAGAAATCCTGTATTGTATAAAAATCATATATGTTTTATAGGGTATTTTGTATTTAGATTTATATTAACGCTGATCGTAACCTGTAAATGCTCCTCATTTAACGGTTTCTCTTTGTTCGTATTGATTAAAGGTTTTATTGAAACAACGAGACAGTGTTAAAATGTGAATATGTATCGACATTTCGTAATTTGTTCCACATTGAATTTGAAAATTGACTGCAATAAATTAATTACTGCCATGTTAATGCAGTTCATTGTTGAGAACGGTGGATTGATTGCACTGTATTCTCCCGATTTATTTATTGTCCATTGCCTCTCTTTCCATGTTAGTGACTTTTTTATGTTTTTGTCCGACAGTCCGAAAAGACTTAACACTGCGACTGCAGTTCAGGTTCTTTAACCACAGGAAAACGCCCCTAATCAAGTGAAGGTACAAGTATCGTGATAGTAGCTTCCTAACCAGACATCCGTTTTGTGTTGCATATAATTTAGTAGCTTATTAACATGCCATAACTGAGAGATATTAGAGAATGTTTCTTATAAATAGTAAATAATGAAAACCTTTAAAACTGAACAGTTCGATGGAATTTAACATAAACGCAGTATAGACTCGAATATCTTCTCGAGTTAAAAATAATATCCTTGATTCACATATTAGTGACATAGTACGCCAAATGTTACAGATCAAATTGTAGTGGGTGTTAAATAATGTATTCCCAGTATACAAATGGATGAAAATTACTTGTTTTATAAATGCAGGTAGTTAGATTGTGGTCAAATGGCTGTTTTCCAATTTTATATTAAAGCAGGATTGCAAAATATTGCAGATAGGGGGGTATAAATTATCGTTCTGTGTCAGATAATAATGCTTGACATATAGTGTATTCTTTTTACTCACCGAAACAGAATGGAATATTACGTATTTTTATTACTTCTAAAAGTAATGGCTTTAAAGCGTAATTTCCTACAGTTGCAAAATGAACTGTACAAGTACCTATTACCTTTTTTTTGTGACTCGCTCAAATATTCTTTTTACGCATCATTTTGTTTAGTAATTTTAATAACACAAACGTAATAGATAAAAGTATAGACTTATAGCTAATATTTGATTAATAATAAGTATAAAACAAAAAAAAATGTGCCGCAGTAGCGTAAAGTTAAAGGATGTTTTATAATTTTGCGCTCTTTCAACATTTGTCAGATACATACAGTCGCTACATTAGCAAAATGACTTCAAATTAAGGCATGTTTTTGAAAAGAAAGCTTCATTTAACCAATTTACACTGTTGAGCACAATAGTACACACCTAATACTTACTTAGAATTTTTGAAAATTTATGAACAATTTTATTTACCGTTCCTTTTGTTTCAATAGTTATCATTCAGGTAATATAAATAAGAAATTTTGCTTAAAACATTGTCATTGTAACCGTATTGGTTTTGCCATATTATTTTTTTAATATTTTTTTCAGTTTTAATGCATTAGCTTTCTTTTTAAACCCATATCATTAAATGTGTTGTCTAAATTTTTAGCTATTATAAGTTTCCTTGAATTTTTTCGCCTTCAGAAATTTATCTGTTTTTGGATTAATTGGAAACTTACATCACAGTGTGTATTGAAAAAATTTAGTTACGCGTTCCCTAAAAGTTCTTTTATATTTATTGAATGAAACCAGTACTTCCGCATCGTCGAATAAATTATGGGAAAACTGATTATTTTGGCACATATTTTAATAATTTTGTCAGGGCGAGAGAAAATAAAAGAAAATAATTATTTACATTTTCAAAAAAAAAATTGAGATTATTGAATATAGATACTAGGAAATGAGTAGTATCATAACTAAAATATTTTGTTGAAACACTTTAATAAGAAATTACAGTTGACAGGGAATAAACCTGAAACTTTATATTCTTAAAAGCGTTATTTCCGCGAATGTCGGTGGAATAATTTCTGCATTTACTTTTACCATCTTTAGTGTGGGAGGAATACCCAATTAATTAAAAGAAAGTTACTGAAAATGCCACAAATAAATAAATTATAGACAGTATCATGCTTAGTGTCTAGAAAATTATTATTTTTATTATTAATAAGTTCAGTTCATAATTGTTTTTTTCCTTACTCAAATCAAAAATGTATTTGCTGAAGCTCCTTCCTTTTAATTTTATTATCAACTAAAATGATTGCGAATGAACTGATTACACAGGACTACAAAAAAAATGAGTGGAGGGTTACTTGAACCAGACCAAGTGGATTATATGTTTTTTGGGTCGCTAAAACTATGAAACCCAACAATATCAACTCTTAAACCATATAACCCGATACTTTCATAACTCAGTAACTTTGAGATCGATACCCTATAACTGTAGAACCCATAACCTGAAAATCTATAACCCCAAAACTCATAAATCTCAAATCCCAATAAACTGCAAACACAAAATGGGCATAAAACAAAAAAACTTACACGCAAAACTGAAACCTCAATATCGGAGAGAGTTTTAACTTTATAATTCTATACATCCATCATTTCATAACCATAAACCCCACAAACCCCATAACTCTGAAGTCCCATAACCCTGAAGTCCCATGACCCTGAAGTTCCATAACCCTATAACCCCAACAGCCTATAACCCCAGTGATCCAAAACCGCATAACCCTATATTATATTGTGACATGCAATTTTCTTATGTTACACTTCAGTGTTATGGAGTTTATGGATTATGAGGTTATGAAGTGATGGAGGTGTAGAATTATGAAGTTAAAACTCTCCGAAGTTGAGGTTGGAGTTTAGCTTGTAAGTTCTTTTTGCTCATTTTATGTTTGCAGTTTATTGCGATTTGATATTTATGAGTTTTTATGAGGTTATAGATTTTCAGGTTATGGGATTTAGAGTTATAGATTATCGATCTCAAGGTTGTTGAGTTATGAAAGTATAGGGTTATATGGTTTAAGGGTTGATATTGTTGGGTTTCATAGTTTCAAGCAGTTTTTTGAGGATAGAAAAAAACGCTGACGTGATGGGGCAAAACAGGTTTCGGATTCGGTTTCAGCGACCCAAAAAATATATAATCCACTTGGTCTGGTACAAGGAATCCTCAACTCATTTTTTTTTGTGGTCCTGTGAATTGGTATTGGAACAGAATTAGTTAAAGTAATATAATTATTTAAAATTTCTCATTTTGGCTTTAGACTTTGCGAGAACTCGGTAGTAAGATATTACGTGTGTGTTTAACAAATTAAACGAATTATCTATCATTAGGGTTGGTTTGTATCCATCTGGAACCATGTTTTTTATTCTATAAAATTAAGTTAAACATATCTTCGTTGTTTCCATTTAACTCAAAATTCTAAAATATTAAAATATTGTCAATTTTTTTATTTTTGAACGGTTATGATGTATAACCTTTCTATGATAACAATTTATATCCTAGTAAATGTGGATATATATTCTCTTTAACGTAAAAGGTCAAAATATTTAATTTATATCTTTTTGATAATGGATTTCGGTTCATCATTTATTTGGATAACAACGAATGCCTAGTTAATTATTTACTTGTGTTTACAATGTAACTACACATTAAAATATTCAGTGGTTTTAAATCGACTATAAACATATTTACGGAATTTAGTTTTGCATTCATATTAATTATGTGGCAAATATAATAAACTATTCATTGCCGGTGGTATTATTGATGTAGATAAAACTTAATTTTGTTGTTGTTGCCAACTGTCGAAATATTTGGCAGCAAGCAAGCGAATTGAGGAAATTTATTATTTAAATAATAATTACGCTCTCCATATTTTTTTATTTTTTTCCTATTTTTAAACAAATTCTACACTTACTGGGTTTATCGTATTTTTTTGTATTAGGTGATATTCGTAGGTAGGTATATTATATGTTACTAACAATGAAACTGTTGTTACATACTTGCGACATATTTCATATTTTAATTATTTATGTACATTTGTAAACTAATAAAACCCACAGTTTTTTATTATATACACAAAGAATTTTGTTTTTCCGACCAAAAAGTGTACCGTACTACACAAAGTCTACACGTTTTTATTTCATGTTTGTCATTGTTACAACAGAGGTGGAAATGCGTATAATTTGTTATGACTTTGCCTGAAAAATGAATGATTTCACACTAACTGGAATGAACTTAGTACCTATTAATAATGAATGAAAATATGTACTGTTTAAATTTACTAACAGCAGAATTGTTTTGTATTTAATTTTATTAAATAATTCTTGTTTTCAGCATGTCAGTACATTAATTTACTAAGTTGCCATTTTTGAACAATAGTATTTTTCTGATTGAAAAATGTTTATATAATGTCACTAAATGTGAGCAAATAGATTTACTTTTGTAGGTTGTTGTTATTGTTTTAAATTAATCCAGTAAAACTACGCCTAAATTATTTTCCATTCAATATAAAAATTATTATATTAAGCAGTTGCAAGTACTCTTTCATACTAAACATCTAGGTGTAAATCTAGACGTAGATAAAATTTAGTATAGACGTATAAATATCCTCACTCGTAACAAAGAAAATAAATTGTACCTCTCATGTTGAAATCATTGAATACTTCTTGGGTATGAAATTGTCTTTTAACATATAAGTATTTAAAAATTTGGTATCAGAGAGTCCAAAGTAATGTAGAAATAGAAGTGCCGATGATAAAAATGTGTAATTATAAATATTTCAAATGTTATTTTTAAAATTTTCATTGTGCTTAAGTAAAATCATTCCTAATTACAAGTGGTAACATTTTTTTTATTATCATTTTTTTGGAGTCCTCTCGAACCCTTGGGGTTGAATCTCGAACTCGAAGTTCTATTTTCGCAGCCGCATCATTGCTGTCTGTGCCTAATTGCGACCTTTTTCACCGAAAAAACTGAAATATCTCCATCCCTGCGGTGCCTAATTGCACAACTTTTGTCACAAACATTGTTCAGGAATGGCAGCTTTGAACATGGGCGTCCGCAAACGTTTTCGAGGATGATGAAAACTGTATCTAGCATAGGATAATTATTGTTAAATTATATATTTTATTAATTTTTATTTTAGTTTTGTTCAAATTCAAAAATTGTTCTTTTCGTGAATTTTATGTTTTACATTTTGTTGATTATTTAATATGATGACAATTTTTAATATTTCTTCAGCAATAATTTTTTTTTTTGCATTCAACAAGATTTGCGGGCGTCCGTGTATTGGATATTTTCCATCTCTTCTCTGGGTGCTCCATAAACCACATCCTATTTTAAATGTCCTCTGTTCACAGAACGACGGCTGTCTCGGTTGGGTGCGACCAGCTCATAAAATCTGTAGTCGTGATTACGTATGTACCATTAAACTACCAACCAGTTGTCCTCTCTATTTATCTTGCAATGTGGCTTTGGTGGGCAGCAGCTGTCTTACGCTTCAACT